AGAAGCCATCTGAGACTTGGGCATTTTTATATTTAGTGATTGGGAGGAAAAGGAGGAATCAAAACAAAAGAAAAAAATGTCTTCATCTCTTGCTGCCTTTAATTTTTTCACATCCACAAGATCTATAGATCTTTTTTCTCAAAGTATTAATTAATATTAAGTTGAGAAATATCACTTTTCTTAGAAAAGAATGAAATAGGCATCTGCCATAATATTTTAATCTCAGTGTCTGGAAGGTTTCATGACTCAGGCTATGTGGAAGCATAGTGAGCTACACTTACTGTTTCTGACCTTTACAGTAAGTTTAGCTTGTCTTGCAGGTGACAGTTACAAACCTGTCATAGTTTTCAGCTTATGATGGGCTCGCTCGGCATGGACACCTTTTTTTCTGGCTGTTCATTTCTGTCGCTTGGAGAATAGAAAGCTGCTTTGGATATCAGTTCAAAGTGTACTCAATGAACTTGCTCAGTCAGCTTTGGGAACAGGTCATTAGTACTTTTAACAGATCTCCAAGGGGAGTCTTGATGGGTTGGAAGAATTCAACTGATCATCAGTACCTGAGCTCATTGTGCTCCTGCTGGTGCACCAGTCCCCAGAATTGGTGTAAGAGAGGTCTTTGCTGTGTGAGGGACTTTTTAAGATTCCACTAGGAGATTTACTCCAGGGCCTATTCCCTCTAGATTAGGCTTTCCTACACATACACAAAACAAAGGTATTACTTGTCAGGTTTTTATTTGGGAAAATGAGTGGTTTCTAGATAAATTTTCCTTTCACATTCTATTGTGTGTCATCTGTTTTTAAACCTTTGTTTTAATAGTTGGCTAATNGCTATATTTTATGGGGCCTCCCACAGTAGCCCTGGATATTTGAGATGTGTCTACAATGTAATACGCTTTTACTGTTAGTCATATTCACCAAATTCTTGGGTAGGTTGTGGCTTGTAGCACCATCGTGGCAGAATGACATCAGGGACTTTTGGGTCTTCCATTCTTAACAGGAAATACCTTCTACTGGGCCCTTTTCCGGAGCCCTAACATTTACGAATCTGCCATAGATAGAAGGTATGGTATGGCAGAAGTCACCTGAAATGTTGCTGTGGCCCTATAGTATTTGAGATTGCCTTTAAAGTTAATTATTTGCAAGGAAAATACAGTGACCAAGTCAATCTGGGGAAACAGCTATACATTTTGATGCTTACCAGGTGTGTTGGTTCTATTAGTCAGAGCCCAGTCATGCACCCTACAAGAGGAAGCAAAAGAATGCTGGCACTTACGTAGATTATGCTGTTAGGACAGGTAGAATTATTGTACCCAGAGCCAGTCTTCCTTTTTTGCCCAGCCCTTGTTTATTTGAAATCATTCGCCTTTATGAAATATTGCTTTTCTGTGTTTCTATTTTTAGTCATTTCTAGCAGCATTTCCTTGCTTAAGCTTTTTTCTGGTTGTAGCAGTTGCATTTTGGTATTGGGGGGAAGTTGAAGGGAGGGAGGTGTGTGTACACACAGACTCCTCCACTTCCTTTTAAACTTTGTGGTTGTGGAAAGGCTTCTATATTTACCAGGGCAGCTGCTTCCTCATATTTGATTGGTCATTTAACAAATATTTATTGAAGTCTATTATGTGCAAAGTATTATATTATGTCCTCAAAGGAGTTACAGTATTTACATAAAACATAATTATTGCTACAGAAGATATAGGGATTATATGCTTCTGGAATCCACAGCACAGAGATGACTTTCCAGTTTGCACACTGGTCAGACTTTGGAGGAGCTGGGCCCTGTGGGACAGGCAGGATGAATCGTGCCAAGGTTTGATGGAGGATGACAGACCTATTTGTTCTTATTAGTTTCAAAGAAAAATTACTTTAATGACTTTATTCTTATTACTAAGTAGGCATGTTAGTTTACTCCTTTCTTTCTTAGTATGAAAATCAAAGTCAGAAAACAACTTTTTTGAGATTCTCCTTCTGTGAGATCGTCTCCCAGGAGGGTCACTTTCACGTGGGTAATAAACGCCCTGGTGGTGAACTCACTGCAAGTGCTGCCACAGAGACCAGCCTTTCGGAAGGATGCTCATGATCCAGCAATTGGGGTTTTAGGAACTGCTTCCTGTTTCTTATTGGAACATCACAAGGAACTTTTTTACACAGCCCTGCTAAGCAGTTTCTAGTTCTGTGCTACGCTCTTGTTCAAATAGTAGAAACTGGGCAGATGTTTAAAAACGAAGAACAAAGGGAGATCCTCGAGTCCAGCTAAAAGAAATAAAAAGTCCTGTTGTTTTAGAATTCCTTTTTCTCTTCCCTTCCACAGAAGGGCCTGGTGTGCCCGGCTGCCCTTACATTCTGAGCCGGGAGTCCTCCAGGCCGGGACCTGCGAGTACTTGTACTGGCTTGTGTCCCCCCACAACCCCCGCCCACCTTGTCAACAGAGAAGTGTTGATTCACAGTGTACAGAATATGTTTAAACAAGGACACTGAGGAATTTTCTTAAGAGCTTCAAGTGTGAGTTATAAGTAGACTCTAGATCATAGATATGCCGAAGAATGAATGTCAGATCTGTTTCGGGGCTTTTGTTTTTACCCTCATATTTATGGGTGATTCACCTGGGGCTGCATTTTTGCAAAGAAAACAACACTAATGTCAATTTAAGTAAAATCTTAAAAGGGTGTTCCTGTTTCGACTTCAGTGAATTGAATAGGCTTACCTGGGTGTTGGGTATTTTCTTAGAAGTAATCTATTTTAGTTTTATAGGGAAATAGAGGACTCACACTTGTTAGTAAAAAAAGAAAAAGTACTGGAGAGCCTCCTCCACAGCTTGTGCAGTAGTTACCTTGTCTCCATGTATTCAGTCTCTCCTCCCGCCCTTTCCCCATCCCAGCCTTCAGGTCAAACAATCAAGCAAAAAGGCCTCTTCACCCCCCTGTTCTCCACCTTGTTGTAGACCCAGAGCCCTGCCAGGAAGACTTTTCTGTGAAATAGCTTATCCTCTTGAATCTTTCTTTCTTTCTTTTTTTTTTTTTTAGCTGAGCCATCCTGCCACCTGTTGGCAGCTCACCGGCAGCTTGCCTCAGGTTGGGAATCGAACCGGCAACCCTGTTGCTCAGAGCTCACACTCTTGAGCGAGCTCTTAACCAACTGAGCCACTCGGCCGGACCTCTTTTTTTTTTTTAAAGTCCTGGCTTTTGTGAAGTAGGTTTTCTTGCTCTACAGATATTCCTTCCCACATAGTAAGTGCTCCATGCGCCTGTCCTGCTGTCGCTTCTCTTCCTAAGCCAGAGGCTGTGTGAGCAGAGGCAGCCACACAGGCACCGTAAGCGGTGCCACCTCACACGGTGGCAGCACCAGGATTGGGGCCAACCCCTTTATTTATAAATGAAAATCCAAACTTTCACACAAGTTGTGACCTCTTCAAAGCTACCTGCAAGTTAATGTCATGTCCACAGCTAGAACCCCAGGCAGGGCTCCTCATTCCTTACCTCACAGTGTTAAAGGTTTTTAAAATTGCTAAAGAGGCTCTAAAGTGGGGGAACATTATTTTCTGAAAGCGACAGACTGGTGCTTACGGCACTTTCTCCATTCAGATGGCCAGAAGTGAGTGTACAGATGGTAGTGGTCATAAGCTAATTACCACTTGAGATTTTTGCAGTGTTTTTCCCTCTTGATGGCTGTTCATTTCCTAGTAATGACTGTACTTGAGTTTTTGTTAAGTCCTTTAGATAGTAAAATTATCATCTGTTCTAATTATGAAGTGTGTGGACTGTTTTGAGTATGGCTTGAAAGGAAACTTTATTAGGGCAGGTGGCAGTTGGGGCCATGAAGTGAAGAGAACCTGGTGAGTCTCAGGCGACTCCATCATGGGTTCCATCATCCCTGGCCACTGATTGTGTCACCTTGGACAGACAGGTCATTTCACATTCAGAACAAACACCAATGAATAATTCCATGTGATGTTTCTTACTCATCTGTAAACTGTTGAGGGCAAGGATTTTGTCCTTTTCATCTTTGCATTCCTAGTGCCAGTCTAGTTCCTGACACATGATAAATGGCCAGTGTTTGTTGAATGAATGAATGAATGAATGAATGAACTTTTCTGTGTCTTTAGGTTTTCCCTTCTGTAAAATGGGAAAACCAGTACCCTCCTAGAAGATTAAATGTGATAATAGATATGAAAACATTTTGGAAGGTTCTCAGTACATAAAGGCATATAGGTATTATTCCTTTAAGCAGGGCAGTGAATTAACTAAGGAGACAATGAGTTACCTCTTGAATATAACAGGATTGAAAAACTTCCTTCCCCTCAAAGACTGTATCTTTGGATAGAAAATAGCCTCCAATATGTTGTCTTGTTGATTTCCCTGAGTATATATCACTTAAAAGATAAATGAAAACATCCCAAGAAATTTGTTTTTAGTATTTCTGAGAGTTTGTTCAATTTTGCTTATTACGTAGTCATGTCATGTTGGAAATCCTGTTTGTAACAAAATTTTAGTTACTTAGCTGTTTTCTTTTATTTTTAAGCATTTCTTCTGTCAACATTTTTTCCCCATGTGTATAATAGAGATTGCTTCCTGTAATATTTTTCTGGAAAAATATTTTAATGTTGATAACAAAATATTTTAATGTTCATAACAAAAAGAATTCTTACTTGCTTACTAAAAGAACTTTTACAGGTACTTCTTAAAAATCCAAATTGTTTCCTTAGAATAGAATTAGAAAGAAATATAGACAAATATCCCCATTGCAGCTTTCTCGAGGTATAGGATAGGATAAATGAGAACACCAAAAGGTTCATGAAAAGATACTCTGTCACTTGCCACTTTGATTTGTCATCCAGACAAATCTATCTGCTCCTAAAAGATTAATGGAGAATCAGAAAAATTAAGATTACTGATTAGTAAAACAAATGACAGTTTCTATATGATACATAGTTATGCAAATTTGTGATAATTTTACTGTATATGTAAACCATGAACTATAACAAATCAGTGTTTTTATTTCTTTAGGTGGGTAGCCTATGAAAATCCTGACTTCACTGGAGAGCAGTATATACTGAATAAAGGCCTTTATACCAGTTTTGAGGATTGGGGAGGGAAAAATTGTAAGATCTCTTCTGTTCAACCCATATGTTTGGTAAGGAGTTATATTTTTATATGAGAACATTTAACTGAATTGTGGATCTACTAAATGTGTGTCTGATTCATGTAATACTTAACACTATAGAAGTTATTTTGAGATTATTTTTAACAGTAATTGCTAATATGGAAGAAAGAAACTTTTTCAAGATGTCTGCTCTACTCATTTCCTTCTTTCTTTCCTTTAAAACTTTTTAGGATTCCTTCACTGGCCCAAGGAGACGAAATCAGGTAACAAAAAATATTCTATTTTTTATAATTAGGGGCCTTCCATTGAAAAGCTTATGTGTAAAATGTTAGACATTTGGAACATTTTGTTAGTTTTACCTAATTTTTTTTGCCTGAAAGTGCAACTGTATTTTAAAATTATTTACTGTAATGCTTGATAGCATTGACCCATATTTAAATACTTCTAATAAAATGCTCTTATGTAAAGTTGAATTCTGTATCATTACATCAAATCAGAATTTACATTAATATACTACACTAAGGTTAGTATCAAACAGTACATATAGTTATTGTGATAAACAGTAAAAGGAATTTTCGTATTTGCTGTGTCTGCATTAGGCAGACATTTTGTAAGGTCACTTTTATATGCCGTCTCACTCAAGCCTTGGAATGCTGACTGTCTCCATCAAATGAAGTGTTACGTTTGTTATTTAGGTTTTTTATTGGAAGTGTTCAGACGGCCATAATTGTAGAGGCACAAAACCCACTGTAGCCTCCTTTATTGGCATACACAAGATTCTAGTAAGTCAGCAAGTATCTTCCATTGAGAGGAAAACTATACTTTCCTGTAAATGTTAGAACTGTTAAACGATTACTTTCGGTTACATTAAAGCTTTAAAATGCCTCACAGGGTGTAAAATGCGACAGGGTGTTCTGTAGAAAGCTGCCTTTATTGTTGGATTTTCCTTGGATGTCTCTGAATTCAACAATCATGAGTGGTGCAGCTAGAGTATTTCTAATTGATAATTAATGTAGAAGTAGAAAATTAAAGGATTCATAAAATTCATCCCAGTTTACTGACTGTAATGAGTTAACAGGTTGTGTTTGAGTCATTATTTCAAAGGCTGAATGAGTTCATGTGTTTTCAAAATAATTTTGTGTGTTTCCGTTTATTTTTTCAAAGGTTCACCTGTTTTCGGAACCACAGTTTCAAGGTCACAGTCAAAGTTTTGAAGAAACAACAGGTCAAATTGATGAATCATTTTCTACCAAATCTTGCAGAGTTTTAGGAGGCAGGTAAGCAAACAGTGGCCTTGCAGAGCCTAACCACCAGGGACATAGAATTCACACATCAGCAAGTATTTAGTGACATCTTTATGTGCTGGGGGCTATGTGAAACCATCAAATAATACAAGACCTGGTAGTACTGACATATACTTGGCAGCATCTGGGTGCTGGACGTCAGAGGACAGTGGAGATTAGTGTGGATGGAGACATTGCACCTCATGTGCCAAGGGATTCGTACCAGGTTCTCTACTCTAGGCCTGTGCCATCGTCTGTAAAGGGACTCTAGATACTAAGTGCCTAAGGCACCTCCCAAGGTAGATTGTTTTTATGGGTAGATAGGAGTAGAAGAGGCATTCTGCTTGCTAGGCGAGTGCATGGCTGCAGTGGGGTTGGTGTGTGTGCTGATCAAACCACCCTCTCTCACTGGGAGGTCTTGGTACTGGGGAGAAGGGGTAGCAAGTTTGGACAGGGAGGTTGGGATCCCCGTGAAGGCTCCCCCTGGCATATGCGTGAAGATGGATGCCATAGGAAACACAAGATGGGAAAGGCAAGGAGCTGACAGGGCCATGCTGCCAACAGTAGTTTTATAAAAACTTTGGAGAGGGGAGAGCCCAAAGTCAAGGAAAATTTGGTCAGGAAACCCTTGGAGGAACCTGTGCCAGAGGTGATGAATCAGATAATAGTAATAATAATAATAGTGCCTTTAATCACGTAGTTCTTTATGGTCCAAACAGCACCATCATCTCACTTAGCATTGCAATGTGGAAAGAGCACTGGCTGTGCATTCAATTACACGCTGACCTAAAGCCTTGCAGTTTATTAGCACATACCGCCACCTCCGTCCAGGTTCCTCCTTATCCCCTACCTTGCTTCATTTATTACCATCGGACATGTAATTTTTTGGTTCATTCTCTGTCTCAACTCGAGTGTAAACTTCAGGATAGGGAATTTTTTTTTGGCCTCTGTCCTATCCCCAGCAACGGACAATTACCTGACACACAATTAGTTCTTGGTAAGCATTTGTTGGATAAAAGAACGAAACAAAAAAGCCCAGCTGTCATGGGGAAGCATGATAACTTGCCATTTTAATAATGCTGAGGCCCAGAGAAGCTGAGTGACTTATGTCACCACGGTGCTTTGGCTCCTCGCCCAGGGCAGACAGAGGTGTTGGAAATGAGGATAAAGGAATGTGAGAGAAATTTGGGGAGGAAACCAGGTGACTGACTAGCTATGAAAACTGAAGGATTATTCAGAGAGGACTCCAGGCTTGACCAAACTACACTGGCCGGGAGAATAGTGGCACCCATGAGGAGCAAGGAATGCTGGAAGGTGCAGAGGTCAAAACATGAATCATTTCCTAGAGAAAAATGTTTTATTTCCAAAAGGCAAAGCTAATAACTGACTTACGAACAATTATTTGCCACAGGATTGAGTACAGTACATCCAGATATTTTTGAAGAAAACACTGTTAGCCACAAGCATTGTGTTTATTTTAGAGTATGCTGCTACCTCTAAAAATCAGACTTCTTGAACAGGAATACTCAAATCACATAACTCAAATCACGTATTGTACATGTGTGTATGGTTTTTCCTCCTGTAGCTGGGTTGCATATGATGGAGAAAATTTCTCTGGTAACCAGTACGTGTTGGAAGAAGGCCACTATCCTTGTCTGTCTGCAATGGGATGTCTGCCTGGAACAAACGTGAGGTCTCTTCGTTTTATAGATGTTGTAAGTATGTCAGTGTGAATACAGTATTACAGAGATGTATGGCTCACATCGCTGAGGGTCAGAGCAAGAAACCAACAGGCAGACCTACTTGGGACTTAAAGTCGGAGGCAGAAAAACCAGTTACAGTAGAACTTTACATCCTGTAACTTTTTGGTCTCTTTTGAGATCTTTAGCATATACATTTTTTTTTGTGTTTGCTGTTTTCTTAGACTTCAGGTGCAGTATTGGGTCAGTCATGGCACACAATCATCATGGGTTAGTTCAAGGCCCCTCTCCTGTGTTTTTCCATTTCATACCCCCTTTACAGGGACCTGCTCTAATGTGTTGAGCATACAGCTTGGATATTCTTATAAAATGTGTATTTTTAAAAAACCTATACATAGGCCTTTGATTTACATACAGCATTATGCTATAGTTCTCATTGTGTTGTAAACATAACTATTAAAACTTTTGAAGAGCTGTCCATTATGCTGTATGTACATCGAGTTTATTGATTCTAATTGGTACAAGTATTCCATCACCATATTTTGCTTATTTAGTCCTCATACGTGTATCCCTATGGACCTGTGTGGAAGTTTCTTGGGCATATATGTTAAAGAGTGGATTTGCTGGATTTCATATGCATGAATTTGCAGTTTCACTAAGTACTGCCAGATTCTACCACTTTCCATTCTTGCTGGCAGTGCACATGGGTTCCTGTTTTCCACATCATAGCCATTATTGACTTTCTAACTTTTGTCAATTTGAGGGAATTGAGTACAAGGTATTATCTCATTGTTAATTTGTCTCACTATTAGTGAGGTTGGTATCTCATATACTTATTAGTCACTTGGGTTTTCTGTTCAGTAGATTGCCAATTTATGTCCTTTGCCCAGCTCCTTAATTTCCTATATCTTTTGTTATTGATTTGCAGAAATCCCTTATAGTTTTTAAATCTATTACTCTGTTGTTTTAGAGATTTGCAATCAAATGACTTCTCCCAGTTTATCACATATATGCTAATCCAGATTATAGTGCCCATTTTTGAAAAGAAATCTTTAATTTTGATGTAGTCAAAGCAGTCTTCAATAGAACAAAACTGCAAGATAACGTTCACATGTTAGTCTAAGTATGTCTATAGTTTGGGAAATATTTGTTTTTGGTAGCTGATCTCTCATAAAAAGCTTTAAACATATGTAGTTGATTTTAGTTTTAAAGGCAGAAAGAACATGTGATTCAGCTTTCCTCCCTTCCTGCCTCTTCAAATAACTAAAATGTTGACCTTCCTTGAGATGTGAAAATACTAGCAGTGAATCATGGAATGATGTAGTAAACTTCGTTAGCTTAAAATACCACACAAACCACCTCTACACATTAATCTGCTGTTTATTGGTCAACAAAATCGACATGTCAGGGCACATTCACATAAATGAAGCAGTAAGCGCCACACCTTGTCAAAGAACTTTAAGCAGGTAGGGAATTTTTGATATATCATTTAGGATTTTAGGATTATTATCCTTAGAGCTTAGCCTGGGGTTATAAGGGTCTATAATTTGAAAACGAATGACAGTGAACATGGGACTTCCATCCTGTTTTTGTCTTTCTTCCTAATAATTATTCCTATAGGAAAGTTTGGGGGCAGGAGTGCACAGAATCATTGTCTATTGACAATTAAAACAACAAAAATGCACACAAGTGGAAGGTTCCTTGATTAGCAATTACCACTGTACCCCTAGATCCCATGGACGGCAGTAGCCCTCTGACCCTTGCCATTTATGCCTATAGCTTTCCAGTCCCAGCACCTCCTTATTTGAGTAGAAAATGGCAAGACTGAAAGTAAATTCATTAGAAGTATTGCGATTCCAGGCATATATACCCATTCCTCCCCCCACCACCCACACACACTTTATAACACTACTTACATTTACCTGCCTTTCTACACTGTAGGAAAACTTCCTGCCCCTCCCTCCTAACTCTCTTTAGCTTTGGAGTATATAAACCCCCAGACTTCCTGGGAAAAGGAGTTTCTGACAGGCCAAGCCTGGCCAGATCTTGTGCTGTGTCCTTGCAACAAGGTGAGTTTTGCGTAAGTTCAAGTTATTTTCAAAGATTAGTAACAAAACATTATTTTTGTTCCTAAACAGGAATTTTCTGAACCAACAATTATTCTTTTCGAAAGAGAAAACTTCAAAGGAAAAAAGATTGAACTTAATGCAGAAATAGTTAACCTCCAATCCCTAGGATTCAACACAAAGATTCGCTCTGTTCAGGTGATTGGTGGCATGTAAGTGAGTCATCTACTTGTTTATTCAGTAAAAGAATTGATTTCAAAAATCAAGTTTGATCATGTTTCTTTCTCTCCTACATTACCTTAAATTGACTTGTAACTGTATTTTTTGTGAGGGTTAATAATTGTGCACCTTCATAGTATACTTTTCCCATCTGGAAAAGCCATGTGTGGGGGCATCTTTCATCTTTTCCTCCAAGTTTTTAGTTTACTTTCGGTAAGGACTGTGTGTAACAACTCTCGACACCTCTGAAAGTTCCTAGGCGAATGCTTCGCACAGCAGTGCTCAGTAAATTTATGGAGCACTTTTTTAGCAAGTAAGAAAGAGAGAGCTAATTTTTCTTTTTCCCCTTTAAAAGAGCAAGTCCTTTGATGTTGGGATGTCCCTTTAGCTAGGAGTGCAGACACTGTGCACAACGGCTAAAGGTCAGCCTGGCAAGATTTTTCTCAACTTTGAACAACTGTGAAGTTAAGATGTAAAAATTATCAATGTAATGAATGGTTTTAAGAAAGTCTTTTTCTTTCACTCACAAAGAGAACAGGTACAGTCTACCTGTATACATCAAATGTTGGAGGGGGACTATAGCTATTTAAAAAACAATTATTGGGGTGCTAGAATTACGAGTGATTTTTTTCAGCAGGTTTTATGTAATATTTTGGGGGTTTTTTATGATTAAATGGCTAAGATGATAACATTTTAGAGTTCTGGGATTAAAAGTCAAGACTATTCTCCCATGATGTAACACATGAGCCAGAGAGGAAGGCTGTTGGGGTGCTTGCATGCTGCGGGGTGCTGGACCCCATACTTCCTCAGGTGTGGGCACCAGTATGTCTGGGAGCCCTGAGTATCTTTAGTAGTTTTCTGAATTAAGGAAGATTACTCACTGTAAACAAAAATTTATTGAGTTATTTATTTTTATTTAACTATCCCTGATATAGTACTTACCATATGTCACACACTAAGAACTTAACAAATATTAACTCATTAAATAAAAGTTCCATGATCACAACTGAAGGTGTTTTATGAAAAGCTCACAGAAGTGCTGGGCTGTCTCGCTAATAAGACTATTATCTCTACTTCATTGCCTTATTGAAGGGAAAAGCTTACCTATTTCTCTTTAAGAATGGATCTTTTTGACATAAATAGTCACACCAAGAATTTACTGTTTGTTAAGAAATGGGTGTTTTAAGTGTTTTAGAAAAGAAGGTAGTTTCTTTTCCCCCCAATTTATATGTAAAGTATAAAGCTCAGTCTGAAAATTGGAAGTGTTCTATAACCAGGGCCCATTCTCATATGGATATTGCTGCTTACTTGTGATTATCTACTTTTTTTTCCAGATGGGTTACTTATGAATATGGTAATTACAGGGGTCGACAGTTCCTACTGTCACCAGCAGAAGTACCTAATTGGTATGAATTCAGTGGCTGTCACCACATAGGTTCTCTACGACCTTTTGTTCAGGTATTTTTTTTTTCCTTTTCTGTGCTTTTGAATAGACTCGTCTCTGAATTTTTTTTTTTAATAAATGTAATTTATTAAAATTTTTTTAGTAAATGTAATTCAACTTTTTAGTTTTAACTTTTAAGTTTGAAATTGGCCTCTCACTCCACCCCCTGGCCTCAACTTACTTTCTGAATTTGGGCTCTGTTTCTGGTGCTAAGAGGTTGTGACTGCTTTCAGAAATGCTATCGCGCCTGACATCAAAACATGGTGTGTCCCAAGCCCTGGGCTGTCCACAGTGGGGTACCCTACCCCAGACACTTCTTTGCAATTTTGTCAAAATCTTCTCGTTGAGAAAATCCAAAAGCCTCTGATTCTCGGGTATAGTAATTATCCCTGATCCAAACTCACCTTGGATTCTGCCCCTGCTATTGATGTTTGCTCAGTGCATCTAACAGTACAACTTATATATGATGTTTCTGGGGGTTTTGTCTTCTAGAAACGAATTTATTTTAGACTCCGAAACAAAGCAACAGGGTTATTCATGTCGACCAATGGAAACTTAGAGGATCTGAAGCTTCTCAGAATACAGGTCATGGAGGATGTCGGTGCAGATGATCAGATCTGGATTTATCAACAAGGATGCATCAAATGCAGGGTGAGCTTCTAGGATTAGACAAAGGCCTATGACAGCATCTTTCTTCGAGTAGATGCTATTTCATGATTGCTGGAGCACTTTCAGAAATAAATTAGAAGATTTTTCATGAAAATATTTCTTAGCTTTTATAGAACCAGTCTAGGAACTTAAAATGGGAGGTAATCCTAACACTGATCCAAGATAGAGTATTTGTTATATCTATACTTGATTTTTATATTAGAAAAAGTGTCTGTGTTACTCTACTCTTTTTCTTTAGTCTACTTGTTATTGAAACAACCAACAAACCCCAACATGATCAAAACAAACCATTCTTGCTTTGTTTCCGTTTTGGAGGACCTCACGGGCCAGGAGGAAGGGGTGAGGAGGATGAGGAGGAACGACCCTACGTACAACACAATCCATTTTCTGTCACGCCTTGTAAAATGGGAAAAACCCCATCTCCCTCTCCCATCACTTCTGCCATAATACACATTTAAGAGCTGAAAGTAGTATGGTTTTTATGAGAGAAGCTCACGCTTCTATTACAGATATTCTTTGTAACTCCATGATTCTATGGGCTTGACTATTTGCTTCTGGTTGTTTTTCAAACTGGTGCCCCATGAGTCAGCAGCAGTCATACAGCCTTGTGAAAGGCTGGTTAATTAGGTCTGTTGTGCTTGAGGGAGAATCATCCTTCAAGGAAACACAAGTACTGTTTAGACATGCATAGAAGAAATAGCATGAGTGGTAATACAAAAGCATAAAAAAAGCCAGTTTCTGCCCTTGAATTATCGTGAACAAATTAAGAAAATGGTGCCTTTCATCAATTATTTCTAACAAGCATTTCAATGTTATTTAACAACTTTGAATTCAGTAGGTCAGTGAGAAAGTGTCCTAGATTATCACAAACTTTTTGTCTCAATATAGAATAGTACATTGTTCACAAGCATTTTCTTAGCAATGTGTGTTAATGTCATATGAACATGAGTACCCGACATTGTTTATATATTAAGGGTAGATTCACTTCAGAGAAGGACCCATAACATTTATGCATTGAAACATACTTTACTGCATTTGTATTTTCTTCTTTCTCTTTTTATAGTTGGATAACACGCCTTTTTAGAAAATTTTAGACATGTCTCATACAGGAAATATGAGAGAAATTAATAAAAGGAATTTCAAGTTTGTCAATGCTAAAATGCCTTTTTAGCCACTTCAGTGCTACAACAGCCTTCAAAATTAGAGATGAAGCCCTATTCTAGAAGGGTCCTGCCAAGCAAAGGTGGCTGTGTCAGGGGAAGAGTTAGCTCCAGACCCAGCCTCAGATCATGGTCATTTCTGAGAGGGAAAAACATCATGAGTGGCAGTTTTACTGTTCTAAGGCTTTCCTTACTAATAAGACAGAGAGTCTCACAAAGGGTGGACGTCACTTGCAATGGACAAGAATTGAGGACTTTCCATTACTCAGGTCATCTGAACTAAAGGATGTAAGTGTTTGTTGTTTGATCCAGTTACCCTGCCTAAAAGCTGAAATGCCTCCTATGGGATAAATGAAGCTAGGATTTAAGATAACTTAAAAATCAATTTAAATAGTGATGACAGTGATCTTTGAGCATGCCATCTCTAAGACATCTTGTCTTTTGCACTAAGCAGATAGCGGAAGACTGCTGCCTGACGATTGTGGGGAGCCTGGTGACCTCCGGGTCTAAGCTGGGCCTGGCCCTCGACCAGAATGCGGACAGTCAGTTCTGGAGCATGAAGTCGGACGGCAGGATCTACAGCAAGTTGAAGCCAAATTTAGTTCTAGATATCAAAGGTAAGGATCACTGCCTTCATTTTCTCTGTTGTGTCTTTCTTTAGTTAACTGAAATCTATTCTTTACTTTAGAGAATGATGAGTATACTATTATAAACAGTAAGAGATCCCTTACTATTTGTGAGCCGCAGTGCCAAACCCTTTACGTACACAGTGTACAGGACACTGAGAAATTTTCTTAAGAGTCTCAAGTGTGAGTTATAAGTAAAATCTAGATGATAGATATGTCAGATCTGAGTTTTGGAGTTTGTTTTTTTTTACCCTGGGTGATTCACCTGGGACTGCATTTTGCAAAGAAAACAACACTATTGTCAATTTAAGTAAAATCTTAAAGGGTTTTCCTGTTCCGACTTCACCTGGGGCTGCATTTTGCAAAGAAAACAACACTATTGTCAATTTAAGTAAAATCTTAAAAGGGTTTTCCTGTTTCGACTTCAGTGAATTGAATAGGCTTACCTGGGTGTTGGGTATTTTCTTAGAAGTAATCTATTTTAGTTTTATAGGGAAATAGAGGACTCACACTTGTTAGTAAAAAAAGAAAAAGTACTGGAGAGCCTCCTCCACAGCTTGCGCAGTAGTTACCTTGTCTCCATGTATTCAGTCTCTCCTCCCGCCCTTTCCCCATCCCAGCCTTCAGGTCAAACAATCAAGCAAAAAGGCCTCTTCACCCCCCTGTTCTCCACCTTGTTATAGACCCAGAGCCCTGCCAGGAAGACTTTTCTGTGAAATAGCTTATCCTCTTGAATCTTTCTTTTTTGTTTTTAAAGTCCTGGCTTTTGTGGAGTAGGTTTTCTTGCTCTACAGATATTCCTCCCCACACAGTAAGTGCTCCATGCTCCTGTCCTGCTGTCGCTTCTCTTCCTAAGCCAGAGGCTGTGTGAGCAGAGGCAGTCACACAGGCACCATGAGCAGTGCCACCTCACACGGTGGGAGCCCCGGGATACACTTCCATACATACAGCAACCTTAGAGGCCTGTGTTATCCCTTCTCCTCCCTCCATTCCATTTTACAGCCCAAAAAGCTGAGGCTCAGGCATTCATCAGTTTGGCCACAATCTCACACCATTTGTTTTATTAACAGTGTGAGACTAACTATCACAAGTTAAAAGGCTGTGATCTCACTTAGTATAGTTGATGAGTCTCATGCATATGCATATCACCTTTCATTGAAAAGATTAAGATCTAAAATGAATTAAACAACACAGCCAAGAGAATTTCCACTGAATATTTGTTCAATGAAGTTAATCCACAGCAAACTGATGGTGCTTGGCAAAAACCAAATTTAGGCCAGTGGGTCCCAAACTTTGTCTGCATCAGAATCACCTAGAGGACTTATTAAAACAGATCGCCAGGCCCCACCCTCAGAATTCCTGATACAGTGGGTCTGGGGTGGGGCCTGAGAATCTGCATTTTCAACGAGTTCCCAGGTGTTGCCCTTACTGCTAGGAGAACTATTGATAATTTAGAAGCAACATAAAACAAAACTGACTTTTTAAAAGACTTGGGAATTCAGTGAACTGTTGTTGCTACTGACAGGCAAATGAAGAAGTGTGTTTTATTCATGTCCTACAGGATAATTTTGTTTTAAATTATTATTGTTATTATTATTATTTTTTTTAGCTGAGCCATCCTGCTAGCTATTGGCAGCTCAGCAGCAGCTCAGCTCGGGCCAGACTTGAACCGCTGTTGCTCAGAGCTCAAACTCTTAAGCGAGCTCTTAACCAACTGAGCCACTCAGCCGGCCCTTAAATTATTAATGGATACTTTATTTCCTATCAGGAAAGCCAACATGATTATGTTTATAAATTTAATGAAATGGTTATAATGTAACCATACTATAACACATACTCCATTTTTAAAGTTGGCTCAGTTATTAAGGGCTCTTGGCCAAAGCTGTCATTAAAAATTGATCTAGGGATAAAGAAACAGCTGCAACTTGGTTGTAAAATAACTTTTTTGGATAATGGAGAATAAGCCTGAACATTTTCATCGGGGGCTTTGGTGGCTGCATGGGGAGCACAAGGGGCTGTCACTTGTATGATCTCCAGGTGGGTCGAGTGGCCAACTCTCCAGGTGGGTCGAGTGGCCAACCCACCTAACAATGGGATTAGAATTCACAGAGAACCTGAGAAGTTGGAGAGGTGCTCAGAGGCAAACTAAGTTTATGAGGCGAAGGCAGAGCACTACACATAAGGAGCACAGACCCAGCAATATATTATGAGAGGCTGGGACCAAAAATCACACATCACATGAAATGCAGGCAGGACCCTTAGTATAAGAAAATAAATGCAACATTCAGAAAATGAATGGGAATGTACGTATACCTCCTTCACGTTGTATTAGGTATAAGATTTGTCATTTGTAACATTCTACAGATGATCAGCCTGAGATTGAAACTGGTTACGAATAACTGACTGAGACCTTTCTTTATTCTTATTTTCATCAACTTGTTGAACTGGAGTTCCTCAGTCTACATAAAAGAGTTTTAAAACCTCCAGAGAAGCCAGAGAAATGCAACTAAATTAGAAGCGTGGATTTTTGGGAAAACATGCATCCATGTTTCTTCCTAATGGGATCAGCTTCCTGTGTCCAGGGTTAAGGCCACTATAACTCTTACGAGATAGTTTCTTAGAGTAGTTCTTCTTTTGTTCTTTCAATATGTATTTATTTATTGGGTACCCATTATGTGGAAGGCTCTGTGCTAGACAAAGTGGGGAAAAAAGAATACTGGGCTTCAGAGAGCTTACATTTTAGAGGCTCCAGGCAATAGGATTTTCCCCCCCACTTGTTACATGAACAGTTGTCCAGGAGGAAGGATACCTGGCTTCTAGTTTTGCCTGACAAGAGCTGTGGGACTCTAGGAAGTTTCCTCCTTAGGGCTTTACTTTTAAAGTTCCAAGGTCCCTTCCTAAAATGGCAGTAAAATTCGTGAAATGGCTCTTGAGTAAGGATAATGTCCTGTATGTGAACTCAGTGTATCTAGTATGGTGCCTCCGTGGCTGGCAAGCTCTCAGACGGTGGGAGAAGGATGCCATCTTGTGGACACTAGCGAGTAGCTCCCACATACTGTGTGAGGGAAATACAAATACATCTCTGGTGCACTTAACAGGAGACTGATTTGTATTAGCTACAACTGGTGAACCATTTGTTACCTACTACAAGTGCCAAAAGGTTTGTTAGACCAAATGTCTTTCTCCTGGTGTTTGGGGAGCGAGTTGTTCTGGGAGACATCCATGTGTCCTGGACCACATCCATATGACAACAGTGAGAGCTGATTCACGCGCCCTTTCAAAACATCAAAAGCCTGGGACGATTTTTTTAATTCTCCCCAAAGGCAGAAGAGTGAATCAGATTATTTCTCAAGAACTTTCTAGTCTTCATGATTCTAATTAGAGTTATGCTGTAATAGCCACAAAAAGTATGTTAAAATACTGTCATCTTGAATGAAAAACTAAGACATTGTGACCTTAATACTTCCTGAAATCTCAGTGGAGTATATATATATAGTGTGTGTGTCGTGCAGATGATGGGGTTTACTCGTGGTCATTTTTTCTCACTGCAAACTTACACATAAAAGGCCCAGGGCTCTTTGCCCTTACATTCTGTCCTACACCCAGCTGTGTAGAGGCTTATCAATGATAGTAAACTGATTTCTTACAAGAGGAGTACTATATAATAGATAATTTCCTTCCCCAACTACCAGGATCTATGGTGTAAGTTAACAGGCCTTTTGGATATTTTGTAAACGCTTTAGAAGAGAATAAGAATGTGTAATTCTTCTTAGCCTGAGGCTGTAGTATGATTGCAATACCAGTCATACTTACCCTGCATCTAGATGAACAGATTTTTATTTTGAGGGAGTCCTTGGTGATATAACCTTGGTGCGGAGGCTTATGTTAGGAAAGGATAAGGTATCTGAAAGGATGTTAATTCCACACTGGAGAAAAAAAAATCAGATGACCCTTTTGTTGATACTTATTCTCCCTTGAATAAGTGTAGGCTGTTTCTAATACTAAAGTATCTGTAATATCTAGAAGGCACCCTTGGAAAATATTCTTACAAACATCCTGGTGCAAGAGAATTGATGTAGCCCGTACCGGTTTATAGTACAGTGGAACTCAGCATCTGAAATGCTATGAGTTTTTATACACCACGGCCTGTGATTCCCAGTAGCAGGCGTGCTGCCCTGCCCATACTTCTGGGTGTCATTCAAACCTCCCCTCTAACCTAATACAGCCATTTTTCATAGTTCATGGAAAACCTGTTCCCTCCGACCACCATTCCACTACTATCGTGCCTGCCTGTTTTTCCATCACTGGTATCTCAAATCCACCATCCTATCACTGAATATATTTCAGTCTCTTTGCTCTTTTCCCCTTCTCTAGTTTCTTCCCCGTTCCCACCAATTTCAGACATCTTAGGAGTGACGGTGGACTAGGCTTTAAGACTTGAGTAGGGAAAGGAGCCCCAGGAAGTGGGGCATCCTGTGCGGAGTGGCTGGTGCCCGTATCGTGGGATTTTAACATGTGTACCCACAGCAGGGTGAGCCTCCCAGCCCGCGGTGCGTGTCAGGGTTTCCTCCCTGCTTTGTTTCCTTGGGGCATGTAGTTTTACACCTCGGTTATTACTTTCGTTACGCTGGTGCTGTGATAAACTACGTCTGTTACAGCCCGTCACTGTGGGCACCTTTCCTTTTATTTCCCTTTTCCTTTTTTTCAGGGGGGACACAGTATGATCAAAATCACATTATCCTCAACACTGCCGGCAGAGAGAAGTTAACACAAGTGTGGGAAGCCATGGTCCTATAAACCTGAAGAAAGAATGCAGAAGGAATATTTCCTTATTTTTAATAAGGTCTTCCAGCTACCTTATTAAAAAAAAAAAAGACTGCTATGGAAGAGCCAAGAAGAAGATGGATGTACTCCTTCAGTAACTCTAACTTCACTCCAGAAGCACACCGCCGGGGCTGGGACACCTGTCTCATCTTTTCAAAGGACAACTAGTTGTAAACCAGTCACTTGTCCTCCTTTCATTTCTAGCCTTCATTTCCTTTCAGCAGCTGCTTCAACCGGTTGCCTCATTAGCGGCTTTGGGGTGTTTTTAAACAAAGGTTTATCAAGACTTGAACACTACGTACATTTTAAATTATTTCCAAAGATGGTGACAGGAGAGAACAGGAATATAATGACTGACTTTGTGGACCTACCACTCCCTTACACTTTAGAGGGAAGGATAAAAGCTTAAATTTGTAAGGTAGAAGCTGTTGAGCATCTGAGAAGAAGTGATGTGTTAAGCCTATAGCTTCGGTCCTTGACCCTCTGTTTTCTGGATTCATGAATTACACTGCTTAGCGAAGTGGGGAAAGGCTTAGATAGACATATCTTAAGGAACTGAGTAAGCATACACAAGATGCTATTCCCTGTTAATATTAAAAATTAGTCAATGCACAAGATTTCATGTCCATCTCTGCTTACGTTAGCAGGATTTGGATTATTTTCCCTCACCCATGGGCTGCCCTGGAACGTCCCCAGTGAGTGTTTAATGCTTTTCTTACAGATGCTCCTGGAACAGTACAAGCAAGACCTAATTTATTAGCCCATCCTCACTCATCTAAAACTAGTTCTGAAGCAGTGTTACCCCACCCTTTGCTAAAGCCTGACCATTTAGCCTCATTTCCTGCCCTCCTCTCCCGCCACACTGGCATGAAGGCTGCCATGGGACGACCTTACCTGTAATGTGCCACAGCCATGCCCCACGACAGCCTCAGGTCTCGGCACTGCAGCCCCTGTGGTCACTTTCTTATCTCAGAAAACAAGAGGTGTGGAAGGCTCAAGAGGATGACCAGTAATTCTCATCCCGAAAAGGAAGGAACGGAAGCCTTAAGCAATGCTTGTTGGTCAAATCTTAAGACTCTGAAAACCCTAAAATGAAGCAAGCATTGCAAGGAAAATTGAAAATGTCTTAGTGCTGACAATACACTGCCCATATGGTGCTGTTCCCACAGTGCATACTCGTTTTAAACAAAACTGCTCACTAGTCCTTGACTATACCCTTCCTCTTTTTGTCCTCATTTCGTTGTCCTTGTCACTGGATGCTGGTGCTCTTGTCACAGGAAGAACAAATCTTGTTTCCTTGTCATCTGTTCCAGTGTGTTTCCAATTCTAAAATGTTGATCCTCTCGGGAGCCTGGCAAGCAATTATGGTTATCACAGTAGTGTCTTCAGTTTTAAAATAATGTTTGTCCATCCAACAGCAGTCAACACATCTGTCTTGTCCTTAGATGTATAACTGACTTTCGGCCTTTGTGCATGTCATTACAGTAATGGTGGGGTAAGACATTCTACAGTAGCCTGTGTTGAATTGATCTCTCGAATAAAGTTGTTTCTGGTTAACTGTATTGATGCAATCTGATAAGAGTCCTTCCAGTAGCCTTTATAACATTCCACAGAGAGTCAGCTGGCTGATTAGAAACCAATGTCTGACTGATTAGGACAAGGCAAGGTTCAGGGGTGCTGGAACAACAGCAGGAAAAGGTTTGCTGACTCCCCACTTCCAGATTCAGTGGTGAAAGGGTGCACGCCACCTTCCTGAGTGGACATGAGGGTAAGTGAAGTCCTGCCTTAAGAGCTTTGCCCGCTCACTACCTCCTAGAAGTCCCCAAGGGAAAAAAGCTGAGACTGTTCAGATGTCAAGTCAAAAGGAGCTCTATTTACAACTGAAAAAAAATTCTTTTGAGATAAATTTGTAGCGGTGAGACTAGCAATTCTAGAGAAAAGTCCCCATCCAACACACTACCAAATGAGGAACTAATAAACTAAGTAGAAAGTTACTCAAACAGGTCTACATCAAATGCTAAATACGAGTGTCTAAGGTGCAGTAATGAGGATGAGAACAACAGGAGATAAACACTCCCTTAAATGAGTGCAGGGCACAGAGATTCAAAAGCTGCAACGGGCTTATCGGTGAGCTGCCTACATGCAGGCATGTAAGGCCAGAAACTGGAGACTTGGGCCCCAATGGAATGGTAATTTCCATGGAAAAGTCCTCAGAGAAGCATGTTTTACTTGTTGAAGGAGGCCCAGCCCTTATGCAAAATATAAGGTTTTTTAAAAGTTAGAAATTGAATGGTGATGCTAAAGGTTCTAAGAGTAAACAGCCAAATCACCAGCCAGATTTTTATATACGACCCTAAGAGATTCGGAACTTGGTTATGACCACATTAGCATAGAGGACTAAAAATCAAAGGAAACCTTGGCCAGTTAAAAAGGTGCTCACTGATGAATCTAGCAGGAACTAGGCTTTAAGTAATAAGCTCTTCATGGTGCCATCCATCCACACCCTGCAAAGATTTAGTGTCTCGCAAACATTAAGATAATAAAATAAGTCTGAGCTACTAGGACAGAAGGTGCCGTAACAATTTGCAAATCTGGTGTGAAAGAACAGCTTGAAAAAACTAATATAGACTTTTCACTGACTTTAGCGACAAGTGCAAGTGTGGCTATTTTTGTAGCATGTCTTACTTGTGATTCCTTATGCTTGGCACAGAGGCCTGTCGGCAAACAGGAAGGCGGGGATGTGTCCGGGGCAGGTTACACCAGCAAGCACTCTGGGCAGGGCGGGGTGATGTACAGAGGGTGGCATGTGGCTCTAAAATCAGCCTCCAAGGTTCAAAAGACAGGAAATGACTGGCAAAAGGTGTTTTTTTTTAAACTTATCTCGTAGAACTTACAGTCTAATCTGGAAAGGGATGGCTAGAAAAAAGGTTGGGCCCACAGGCACTCACCCAATGAGAGAGCCAGTAATCACCAAACCGTATTTATTTAAACGACATTAATTACAGTCTTTCCTCTTGCGTGTCCTCTTTCTAC